TGGGACAAGAGCCAACATGGCAAAATCCAAATTGTGGGTGGTGCAACCAAGGGAGACAACCCCGATAACCCACCCAGCACCCACTGCGTTTTGGGGTGAGGCCATCCCCAAATGGGATGCAGAAGAGCATCTCCAGCATCGCCCCAGCACCTTGCCCATGCTTGCCATGGAAATACAGACCCATGGGGAAGCATCTTCTCTTTGGGATCCCCCCCCAGAAGCATCTTCACCTTGGGATCCCCGCCCCTAGAAGCATCTTCTCTTTGGGTTCCCCCCCCAGGATTATCCATTTCCCCAAAGGAACAAGATGGGAATCCCTACACCTCCCCGCTCAACCCTTTGCAGCCATCAGAGAAGCCACATGGGTGTGTGCCCAAAGCCACATGGGATGCTCGTGCCTGTGCCCGTGGAGGTACCGGTCGGCCGGTGGCCTTGGCCCCCGGCGTGCCGCAGCGTCCCAGGCTGCCGTTTGGGGTGGTGCCGCAGCTGCTGCTGATGATCTGAAGCTGCTTCTCAGCCCGATCTGCCCGGTCCAGCAGCTCCTCGATGAAATGTTGGAGGCGAACCTTGGCGTTGGCTTCGCGGGCGGCCGTCTCCTTCAGGAACTGGTCAATCTGCAGAACCTCCCTGCGTGGAGGGACCGGTGGGTGACACCCCAAATCCTTCCCCATCCGTCCCTGTCTGCAATCTGGGATGGGGGGTCAGGGATGCTCAGGTGCATCCAGATGGTTCCATCACCAGCCTGATTTGGGTCTGTGCCCGTCTGGACATTTTTGGGGGCAGAGCATGGACCAGAGGATGCTCCTGACGTGCAGGGTGGATGTGGCCACCTCATTTTGGGAGGAATGATGTCCCCAGCATCTTCCCTGGGATGGACATCCCAGCCCAAGCCTCTGCTCCCAGGATGATGATGATTGTGCAGCGGGATGATGGAGGAGGGTGGCAGTGGTACCCTGCATCACTAGGGCCAGGCTTAAAGGAAAGACCCTAAGGGCAGCCTGAAGTCCTTAAACCCCGCTCAGCCCCGTACCCTGTTAAACCCAGTGGCTGCAGGGCTCTGGCTCCCTCGTTAACACATTAATTATCGGGCGCTGGGGAGCTTGGAGCCTGCGGATGGGCAGGGTTTTCCTTGCTGAGGCGCACTGAGATGTCATCCCCAAAAATGTGGCCAGCTTTGGGGTGGAGGGTGCTGGCGGCTCAGCAGCCCAAGGTGGCCCTGTCCTGCCCCGCACACGCGTGTGCCCAGGTGCACACACACTCACCAACCTTCCCAAAACCATGGGCATGGACACGCAGAGCACACACGTCACACTCCCTGTGAGCACACACATCCCGAAAACACGCACAGCCAGACCCACCTGGCCATCGCACCCCTGCAAATGCATGTGCCCCGTGCACACCCACATGCACACCCAGGCATGTGCACCCTCCCAAGTGCACCCTGTGCATGCTCAGAGCCACCCTTACACACACAAGCACCGTGGAAACTCACACGCAGATGTACGCCCTGACACACGTGCAGGCAGCGTCACGAGCAGCCACATGCACGTCCCGGCACATGGACAGTCGGTTGTGCACACCCAGCACTGCTCACACCCGCGTGGTTGATGGTGTGCACACACATGCACAATGGTCTCACACCTTTGCTCAGCACCATGAACTCCTACAGGTGCACAAACACAGCTCTGCACACCTGGATTGTACACACTTGACTGTGCACACCCGACTGCAAACCCGTCCATGCACACCCAACAGTGCACACATGGCCATGCACACCCAGCTGTGCACACATAGCCATGCACACCCAACAGTGCACACCCAACAGTGCACACCCAGCTGTGCACACCCAGCTGTGCACACATGGCCATGCACACCTAACCCTAACCCTGACACCTGACCGTGCACACCGAACTGTGCTCACCTGACCGTGCACACCTAGCAGTGCACACTTGGCCATGCACACCTGACCGTGAACACCCGATGAGCACACCCGACTGTGCACACCTGACCATGCACACCTAACCATGCACACCCAGCTGTGCGCACCTGACTGTGCACACTGAACCATGCACACCCAACTGTGCACACCTAACCGTGCACACCCGACCATGCACACCCAACTGTGCACACCCAATCATGCACACCCAACTGTGCACACCTGACCACACACACCTGACTGTGCACACCCAACAGTGCACACCCAAACACACACACCCGACCATGCACAACCGACTGTGCACACCTGACCATGCGCACCTGACCATGCACACCTGTGTCCATCTGACCATGCACACCTGGCTGTGCACACCTGACAATGCACAGCTGACCATGCACACCCGACAGTGCACACCCGACCATGCACACCTAACTGTGTCCATCTGACCATGCACACCTGGCTGTGCACACCCGACAGTACACACCCGACCATGCACACCTGTGTCCATCTGACCATGCACACCTGGCTGTGCACACCCGACAGTGCACACCCGACCATGCACACCTGTGTCCATCTGACCATGCACACCTGGCTGTGCACACCCGACAGTACACACCCGACCATGCACACCTGTGTCCATCTGACCATGCACACCTGGCTGTGCACACCCGACAGTACACACCCGACCATGCACACCTGTGTCCATCTGACCATGCACACCTGGCTGTGCACACCCGACAGTACACACCCGACCATGCACACCTGTGTCCATCTGACCATGCACACCTGGCTGTGCACACCCGACAGTGCACACCCAACCATGCACACCTGACCACACACATCCGACCGTGCACACCTGACAGTGCACACCCAGTCACACCGACCTGCACAGGAACGTGAAGAAAAAGGAGGGGCCAGCCCTCAGTGACACAATTCCCGTTGCTGGTTATTAATTGCCATTGAATTACCAATTAATTGCCCCCCAACCTGGCATTTGCAGGGTGAGCCTGGGCGCTCCCCACTAATGATTCCGGAAGGCTCCTGGCCAGGGAAACCAGGAGATTTGGAAGGCAAATGGGATGCTGGTGCGGCGGGTGTAAGGCGATGCTGATGGTTATCACCGGCACCTCTTGCATTCCCGTGGACTGGGTGGAAAAAACAAAGCAAACGGAGCCCAGAGCAAAGAGCATCCCATGGGGACAATGTTCTTGAGGTGTTTCAGAGCTGGGAGGGCTGGGAAGTGTGTCCTGGGTGATGTTTGGGTTTTGGGGAAGTGTGAAACTGGCTTTGTGAATGAAAATGGTTTCTAATTATTTCCCCACATCTCAAAAAAAAAACCCCATCTCTCTTCATCAGCTCTTCACGTGCTTCCTCTGCAACCTGGTGGGTGGTTTTGTCACTCTGGCTGGAGGAGTTTGAGGACCGATGGGGACAGTCAAGGGGCAGGAGGGTTCCTCTAAGGACAGGGATGCCCAGGAGGTAGTTTTGGGGTATAATACATATTTGAGCAACCTGGGCTAGTGGGAGGTGTCCCTGCCCATGGCAGGGGGTTGGAACTCGATGATCTTGAAGGTCCCTTCCAACCCAAACCATCCTGTGATTCTGTGATTCTATAAAAACAGGTTCTCAGGTGACAACGATGTCCAGGCTCTGCCATGGACCCACTGGTCACCCTCTGTCTGCCCTTGCTCAATCTGTCCAACCCCTGCTCCAGACTTGCCCACCCCATTGGCCCTCATTGTGCCACCAGGCACCCCCAAGATGCCCCTGGACAACCCCTACGAGGCAGTTGACCCTACATCTCCCCGTTGCCTGTCCCATACGCATCCATCCAAACCACGAGGCACTGCCCTTATCCAGCCCCAGCGTCATCCTGCTCTTCACCCCAGAACCATCCCCACCACCAGCAGATCCTGTGAACTTTGTTTCTGAGCTGCAGTCATTATCTTGGAATCAAAGTCATTAATAAATGTGCTGAGGATGGTGGGGATCAAGAGAGGTCCTTGAGGAATCGCATCAGTGCTCCCAGCCCAGCACAACTGTGACTGTTCCCCGTTATCCTGCTCCTCACCAACTTTCTGGACCCCGCAGTGGCTTCCAGCTTTACCAAGAAACTCCCGAGGAACAAGGTCTACTTTGCTTGAGGGACATCGATTGGCAAAATAACCCAACTCTTGGCTGGAGGGGAACTCAGGAGCGGTGCTGGGGTGGGAAGGGGTGTGTTGAGTGGGAAACGTGGGATGGAAACGAGGGTGACAATGCCATGGTCCTAACAGCAGATGGAGGTCCTACTGCTCCAGCTATCCCTGCAGCAACATGGCCATCACTGTGTTCCTTGGCAGGAGAGCAGGATGGCCATGTGCATCCCCAGCCTGGCCATGTCCTGGGGACACCAGTGGCTCTGGGACAAGGTCTGATGTGATGTGACCCAGCTTGGTCATGGACATGGAGAGGCTCAGGTCTACGTGGACATGGGAGAAGATGCAAAACCTGATGAATGGTGATGCAAAGGGGCATTGCCAAGGGGATTGTGCCCTAGCACTTGGTCTGAGGGTTTGGTGATGGTGTTGGGCTCTTGGGGCTTGCCATCAGGGACCGATTCCACCCCCACCCTGCAGCCAGGAGAGGGGACAAAGGACTCACTGTTGCTTGCGGGTGAGCTCCTGCTCCTTCTGCACCAGGTCCTGCTTGAGGGACGCCAACATCTCCACGCTGACATCCACCTGGCGGGACAGTTCAGATGCCCGGTCCTCCAGCTCCTGCTTCTCCCGGCTGAGCCGCAGGCTCTCCTGCTTGGCTTTCTCCAGCTCCGAGCTCTTGCGGTCCAGCTCCACCTGCAGCCGTCCCACCTGCGAGGCTATCTTCTGCTCCACCTCCTCCGTCAACTTCTCCAGCCTCTTGTCCACCTCCAGCTTCTCAAAGGCGCGGATCTTCAGGCGGGCCAAGCCTTCCTCGTAGGCAGCGTCCATAGTGGCCGGTGGTGCGGGGGCGGGCGCCACAGCTTTGCCCCGGGTGAAGATCTCCGTCAGAGGGATCTCGATCTCATGGACATAGCGGGGTGAGGGGGAGGAGGAAGGCGCCGGCTCCAGCTCCTCAGCGGGGACGAGGTCACAGGAGAAACGTTGGTCCTTGCCTTGGAAAGAGGTGCTCTCAAAGTAGTCCCGCCGGGCAGCCGGTGTCAGCAGGGCCCCGTCGGTGGCCAACGGGAAGACGGCAGCATCGCAGATGCTGTTGGTCTTGGAGAGGACATAGAGGGTCTCGTAGGTGTGGTTGTACTCCAGGTGCGCCCGCAGCGAGGAGAGGCTGCGGAAGCGCTTGTGCTCCCCGCACCGCGGACATCGGTAGGGTAGGTCCAGCGAGGCCATCCCTCAGCTATGTGCCCCAATGTAGGGGAACTGCACAGCCCCGCTCATGGCGCGGGATGGATGGACTGGTGGCACATGGGATGGGTTGGGGAGCCCCAGGTGGTGGGGCTGCAGGTTGGCTGGAGCATGGTGGGGTGGGAGCTCTGGGATGGGAGTGAAGGGTCCAATGAGTCTTGGGGGGATGTCAGCATCGGCCGGTGCCAGGAGCTAGAAGAGACAGGGGGTTAGAGATATAGGGACAAGTCTCTCCTTGGACCTTCTTCTTGGTCCCTTCTCTGCCTCAAACCTCCCCTCCCATGTTCTTCCCACTTGTGCACAGCCCTTGGGAGGGTGCACAATGCTCAAGAAGGTGCACAACCCCTGGGAAGACCCACAACCCTTGGGAAGTCCACAATCTTTGGGATGACCCACAACTCTTGGGAAGACCCGCAACCCTTGGGAAGTCCACAATCTTTGGGATGACCCACAACTCTTGGGAAGACCCGCAACCCTTGGAAGATCCACAACCCTTGGGATGACCCACAACCCTTGGGATGACCCACAATCCTTGGGAAGATCCACAACCCTTGGGATGACCCACAACCCTTGGGATGACCCACAATCCTTGGGAAGATCCACAACCCTTGGGATGACCCACAACCCTTGGGAAGATCCATAGCCCTTGGGATGACCCACAACCCTTGGGAAGATCCACAACCCTTGGGAAGATCCACAACCCTTGGGACAGTCCACAACCCTTGGGAAGACCCACAACCCTTGGGAAGATCCACAACCTTTGGGAAGATCCACAACCCTTGGGAAGACCCACAACCCTTGAGAAGGTGCATAACTCTTGGGAAGGTGCACAACCATTGGGGAGGTTCAGAACCATTTGGGAGGAGTCCAGCCATCAGGAAGGTGGACAATCCATGGGAAATCTCTCTCCATCCACCCTGAGCTTGCCACAGAGGGGTGACCCATGTGCTTTCTTACCCAGACACCATGCAATAGGTGTCCAGGTCCCAGGAGCATCCCTGTGTCTGACACTGGGTCCAGGGTGCTGGAAGCCACCTCCTCCAAGCAAAGGGTGACCCAGTCCTGCTGGATCAGCCCACGCAGCTTCACAGCAGGATTAGTTATTTCTCCAGCCCCCCACCATGGTGTCTTATTGCTGATACCCTCCGGGGTGGTGGGACCCCCATGCTGTCCTGGTGACACAGAGGTCCTGGTGGCTTCCCACACCTGGGCAAGTGAGGGTCCCTGTAGGGACCTGGTTTATCCCCCCACTCACAAAACCCTCCAAGACATCAGGGGGAGGAAGAACACCACCCTTGTGAAATAGGATAGAAAAATCCAGCCTGGGAGGTCACCATGGTCTCCTCCAGCCTGGGAGGCACAAGCAGACATCGGGGTGCGTTGCTGCCATGCTGTCACCCCAAAGCACCCAGGGCACCCATGGGTGGGAGCATCTCTCGCTCGTCCCTCTGCAATATCCCACAAAGGGCTCTTCCCACCACCTGAAAACCCCTCTGAGCTCCTCTGCACCCCACAACCACCCTCCATCCGTGCTCATCCCCCGGGCAGCATCCCCCACGGCTCAGCATCCTCCTTGGAGGGCACAACCAGGCCACGAGGGTTGGGAAACCATTTTTTTTAAGGGAAAAATCAGTAAAGGCAAGAAATCCATGCAAAAAAAAAAAAAAAAAATCAGATGTGCTGGGAGGATTTCTGGAGCTGCCTGGCCGTGTTTTAGGGTCGTTATAAAACGCACCCTCACATGTTAACCCCTCCTGGGCAATCCCCCAGCACCAGCCCAGCTGAACACAAAGCACCGCCGGCAACTTGGGTTTCACTGGTTGCCTTCTTTGCTGCCGATTGGATGAGAAAGCGGTTTTTCTGCCGTAGGGATGGGGCCACAGCACATCTCAGGCCTGGATCCCTGCCCACATCTCTCCGATCAGCCTCGGTCCGTCTTTTCCAGCCGTGGAGCCAGGGCAGGATCTGTCCCAGGTGGGTCCCGGTGCACACGCTGCTTGGTCCCAGTCCTGGGCAGGTCCCACCCTGACCACAAAACCTCTCCTCCCTCCCACGCCCCCTAAAACCAACCAGGATTTAAGGAAATTATGAGTGGAGTCATTACTACAGCGGCCACGCTAATAAATCCCGTGAGCATCCGGAGCTGGGAAACGTTCCCAGCCGCGGGGAGATTGCAGCAGCGAGTGAAACCCATCCCCGGGGCTGCTTCGACACCGCTACCCGCCATTCATCATGGAGCCTTTCTTCGCATTGTTTAACATTTTT